ATCAGTTTGATTTAAGCATTCCACATTATACCCCATAAATGTATACAGTTATGATTTTAATTAAAAATTAATTTAAAAAAGAAAAAGAAAAAAGTTGAATTAAAAAAAAAGATATCCCTCTAGGGTTGAATATCCTAGAAGGCAGGATGTTCATATGCTCAGAGAAGATAAGATTTTATGTTATTCAGGAGAATCAATGTGTCTTTATAGAGACCTGATTCACTTAAGTCTCAGGTGGTCCTTGTGTGGTCAGAGTAGTGCCCTGCAGGTTCACTTTGTCTCAGGATAAGAAGCATACCCATGTAGGTTCAAAGTGTCTGATTGGATTAGGACATTTTAAATGGTCAGAGTACTCTAGGGGGGCAAAGTGTTTAGAGGATCCAAAGAGAAAGTATCAATGAGCCTAAAATGTGAAAGTCAAGAGAGTCTGGGAGACTTGGAGCATCTTGGGAAGACATGAATATTGCAGAGACAAGGTATTATGGGAAACAAACATTCTGGGTCTACAGGTATTTTTAATATGTTAGAACACTTTTGAAGTGTCCTTATAACATCATAAACTTTGTGGTGAGATTGTCCTGGAAAATAAAACTATTTTCACAGAGTCAGGGTGCTTTGGAGGTTGGTCTGGCTGGGTGATTTAGAGACTCCTAATGTTCTGAGAGTTCAAAGCTGTTAAGACTTTTAGGAAGGTCAGTGTATCCTTTTGGTATCTGAATATATGAAAATCTGATATTCTAAGGAGATCAAGGTTTTCAGAGATCAGGCAATCTTTGAGGGTTTGGATAGACTGGAGTGGATCTGTTATGGAGTACAATGTCAAAAGTATCCTTGTATGATCAGAGTATATTCCGGAATCAGAGGGTCCTGGAGGAGTTAGGTGAGGTGAGAGTATCCAGGAAATCAAGATATTTTGATAGTTCAGGGGATATTATTATGTATTATATCAACATATAGAATATCTTATAGGGAATGTTTTCCTTGTGAGACCAATATTTCATGAGTGTTGGAATAATCACCTCGTGTGCCCAGGCTCAGTGGCTCACACTTATATAATCTCAGTGACTCAGAAAGCTGAGACAAGGAGACTCAGAGCTCAGAAGTCCAACTCTGTAGAAAGCTATGATGTCACTACTGAACTCCAGCCTGAGCAGCCGAGTGAGGTCCTGTCTCTAAAAATAAACAAACACATAAGCAAATAAGAATTACCTTTTGGTTACACATTGGTTACAGTGATGGGCACATACAGCCAGGCTGGTGGGTTTGAACCCGGCCTGGACCAACTAAACAACAATGACAACTGCCACAACAACAACAAAAATAGCTGGGTGTTGTGGTGGGTGCTACTTTGGAGGCTGAGGCAAGAGAATCACTTGAGTCCAAGAGTTTGAGGTTGCTGTGAGCTGTGACACCACACACTCTATTGAGGGCCGACATAGTGAGACTCTGTGTCACACACACACACAAAAAAAATTGCCTTGTAGATAAAAGCTATGGGTCATGGTGGGTCAAAGCTGCTCTGGACTATCTGTGTGTTGGGGGAACGGGAGAGTGGCAGTTATTAGGGTGCCTGCTGAGAACTCAAGGGTGGAGATAGTATGCACTAGAAGGTTGAAGTGTCCTGGAATTAAGATGCATCTCATGTGCTAAGGTATGCTGTATGGTCAGGGTGTCTGGGGAGACCAGTGTTGTATCTTTAGTCAATCAAAATATCCTATGGATCAGATCTGTGTGATCAGGGTATCTTTTAGGTTGGTGGGGCTGGTGGTAAGGTTGAGTGATTTTTCCGTGTCAGCATGCCCTTTGCAAGATTCAAGCCAACTGGTGGTTCTGAATGGGCAGGAAGGAAGGATTCCCTTGAGTGTCTAGATTTTGTCAGGTCATGAATTCCTTGAAGGATCAGAGTTTTCCAAATCTCATCATGCCTTTGTGTCCTGGAAGCCATTGTGAAGCTATCATCCTGACTATAACACACTGTGATCAAAGCTTCTTGTAGGACCCATGTACCCTAGAGAGTGAAAGCATCCTTTGTGCCCCAGAGACTCAAGGATCTAACAGGGCCAGAATGACTCTGGGGGTTAGGGTCTCCCAAGAACTGTGCAGTAATAATGATGATGATAACAAGCACACATTTCTAGGTTCCAGGCATCGTCCTGAGTGCTTCTATTCTATTAATTCAATCATTGCAGCTGGGCATGGTAGGTACAGTTGATCTTTATCATTCATGGGCTCCATATTTACTAATTCACCTAGTCACTGAAATTTATTTATAAATTTCAAATCAATACACTTTTGAAAACTCTTTGATACTTTTGTGGGCATCTTCAGTGGTATGCATGCACAGAACAGTGCAAACTTTGAGTTGCTTCATGCCCAGCTGAGATCAAATAAGACAATGTTCTGCCCTTTTATTTCAGCTCTCACAGGTCTCACAGGTTTTTTCACAACCTATTGGGTGTCATGTTTTTCATGTTCTTATGCTTATGTTGGTGATTTTGCTCTTTAAAATGGCCCTCAAGTATAATGCAGAAGTGCCATGTAGTGTTCCTAAGTGCAAAAAGGCTGTGAGGGGCTGGGCGCCTGTGGCTCAAGTGGCTAAGGTGCCAGCCACATACACCTAAGGTGGCG